GGGAGAGGAAGAAAGAGATGGAAACATTCATGAGAAAAAACATCAATTGGCTGCCTCCCACACGCCCCCCACCCCACTGGGGATCGAACCTGCAACCCCAGGCATGTGCCCTGACTGGGAATTGAACCAATAATCTCTTGGTGCATGGGTAAATGCTCAACCACTGAGCCACACCAGCTGGACCCGACACCATTTTATTTTATTTTTCTTTATTATTGATTTTAGAGAGAGAGGGAGAGAAGGAGAGAGAGGGAGAGGAAGAGAGAGATGGAAATGTCCATGAGAAAGAACATCAGTTGGCTGTCTCTCACATGCCCCCTCCCCCCGCCAAACTGGGATCAGGCCCATAACCTGGGCATGTGCCCTGACCGGGAATCAAACTGTCGACCTCTTGGTGCATGGGTCGATGTTCAACCACTGAGCTACACCAGCCGGGCTTCCTCCCCCTTTAATTAATTTATTTTTTTATCCTTACCTAAGGACATTTTTCCATTTTTGTTCAGATAGAGTGGGAGGGAGAGAGAGAGAAACATCGATGTGAAAGGGACATATCGAGTGGCTGCCACCTGCACGACCCAATCAGGGCCAGGGACAAACTGCAACCAAGGTAGGTGCCCTTAGCAGGAACCGAACCCGGGTCTCTCTGGACTGCAGGCCGATGCTCTAACCGCTGAGCCAAACTGGCCAGGGCTTCCTCCCCCTTTTTAAAGATGCATCTCGAATTGAGCAGATATGTCGGACTGTGGACTTGACTAGACGAGGAGAGGAAAGAATATTCTTCCCCCTTTCTCAGCAGAGGCAACAACAGAAGGCAAGGGAACTAGAATGAGTAGTGAAGGAGGGAGCCATGAATACCTCTCAGGACCCTAAGACCAACTGCAGTGACACGGGCTGTGGTTTATCCTACTAACCCCCCTTCTAACTGTCCCCTGAGGAGGAGAGGTCGGGGGGAACCTGGAGGAGCTGCGGAGAAGTGGACCTTCACGGGGCACAGCGCACTCAGCTGCCCCACTGCGCACGCAGTTGGTAGACACCCTCCAGCTGCAGGGCCTTCGGCATCCAGCCCAGTTTCTGTTTGCTTTCAGAGCAGCTCTAGATTCGCAGCAGTGTTGAGCAGAAGGTACAGAGATTCCTCCAACAGCCCCTGCTCCCACACCTGCACAGCCTCCCCAACTATCGGCACCCCCGACCAGAGTGTACATGATACAATTGATGAAGCCACGCTGGCACGTCATCATCACCCAGAGTCCACAGACTACACTAGGGTTCACTCTTGGTGGGTTCACTTCTATGGGTTTGGACAAATGCATGACGTGTATCTACCATTGTGGTATCTTAGAGAATAGTTTCACTGCCCTAAAAATTCTCTGGGCTCTGCCTATCCTCCCTCCCTCCCCCCATAACCCCTGCAACCACTGATCTTTTTATTGTCTCTATAACTTTGCCTTTTCCAGAATGTCATGTAGTTGGAACCATACAGTATGTAGTCTTTTCCAACTGGCTTCTTTCACTTAATTGTGTGCATTTACGTTTCCCCTGTGTCTGTTCATGGCTGGATAGCGCGTTTCTTTCTATCACTGACTTATATTCCATTGCCTGGGTGTACCGCCGTTTATTTACCTGTTCACCCACTGAAGAAAATCTTGGTTGCTTCCAAGTCGAGGCCATTGCTACTACAGCTGCTATTCACATCCATTTGCGGGTTTCTGCGTAGACATCACCCCAGCTTTTGACCCGAAGCCACCTTCTTCTGGGGCAGCTGAGTATGAAAAGGTACCAGGGACTGGGCATTTGTGCCGAGTGCAAAGCTTCCCTACTAGACGGTCTTGGCCTCAGAACTCCCTGGTGGGTCAGCCAAGATGTGGTCAGATCTGCGTTGAGGTCTGAGGCTCTCCCAGTCCAGTTCTTCCTCCTCCCTTTTATGTTTCACAGACCTTAGCCCCAATCAACCCCTTGCACGCCTGGCCCCGTCACGGTGTCTGCTTCCTGGAGGGCCCAATGGACAAACCTACGTCTAAAATCAATCCACAGTTCCTCCCGTTCTCTCCATCATCAGGACCTCCCAGCCCCCAGTCCTTTCACCTTGTTCCTCTCCTGCCCTTGCACGATCCAGTCTCCGTGCAACTACCAGAGTGACCTTTTCCAAACACGAACCACATGATGTCACCTCCCTGCTTAAAGCCCTCCAGTCGGGCTTAGAATCAGACCATTCCCTTCCCCTAGCCTGTACAGCCCCCCATGACCTCACTCTGCCTTCCTCTCCAGCTTCTTTCCCCCTGGAGTTCACTCTGCTCCGGCCCCGCTGGCCTTTCTGTTCCTGAAACATACCAAGCTCATTCCTGCTCCAGGGCCTTTGCACCAGCTGTTCCCTCTGCCTAGAACACAGTCTCTCTTCAAATATCTGCGTGACTGGATTCTCAGGTCATTCGGGTCTCAGCTCAAATGCGTCTTTCTGACAACCTCATAAATAATTCCCATCTCCCAACTCCCCCACATATTACCTCCTGTAATTTTCTATCATATTGCTCTTAAATTTTTCTTTGTAGTTCTCATTACTATTATAAATTAACTTGTTTAATTATTCATTTATGTACTGCCTGCCTCCCCACTAGAATATAAAGGCTCATTTCCAGCTCTCCCCGGTGCCTGGCACTGTGACTGGCCAAAGTCGGTCACAAAACATGTATTTTGAATGAATGACTCTATTTGTTCATTTAGGGCATAATTCCCTTTCTCTAAGAATGGAATGAAAGTGAAGAAATAAAAAACCTAGGAGAGATGAGAATTTAGGGGGGAAATATGGGGACCATTGCCACCCTATGGACACTTCCTTGAGAACCCTTCTCTGACCCAGGATTTCTGTATTAGGGTTAAGTGGGGATCCCCCTCAGAGTTCCAGAGAGAGGGGTTTCAGAACCTCCCTGTCTAGTCTCTCACCTCTGCCCCCAGCAGCCACCAGTGTTGCCTGTGAGGGAACTAGTTCTGTCACATTCACCCAGTAGCTACCTGGGGCAGGGCCCCTGCCGGATGCCAGGGGTGGAATGAATCGCGGAAGGAAAGGTGGCATTCCAGGTAGGGGCTGCATGAACAAAGGCAGAGAAGGAGCCGTTCTGGTGTATTTGGGGAATTATGCACAGTTTGATATTGCTCTAGTCAGAGAGGGAGAGGATATGAGGCTGGAAGGGTGAGCAGTGCCCAAATTACCAACAGTCTTACAAACCAAGAGCAGGTGACATAATAAGACCCAACGTTTATGTAGGCTTTCCATGTACCCCTATCTGTCCCCATTTATAGACTGGGAAATGGAGGCACAGAGAGGGTGTCAAGAACTGTGAAAGATCTGAGACTCTACCCTCCTTGAAAACTAGGTCACACAACTGGTAACAGATAGAAGCAGGGTTTTGAACTAGACCTCCTGGCTCTAGAATCCATGCCTTGACCATTAGGCAATAACGCCTCTTACGGAGATTGGACTTGATTCCATGAAAGATGGCGCCACCAACGAGTTGACAAGCAGGAGCGTGACCCACTCACATCACAGGTTTATAAAGTCATCCTAGCAGATAAGCAGACCAGTTTAAACAGGATTTGATTCCAGCCTCCGGACCCACTTATCCAACTGTCTCCAACTCTCACAAGGCAGCTCATTCATATAAAGGCGGCACCATTTGGTGCCCAAGCCACAGGGGCTCTGCTGCTCTTGGCAGTCCCCTCTCTCAGCCTCCCTGCATTTTCGATGACAGTTTCTCCTCCACATGTAATGTATGTTTCTGTCCTCACAGAACACATGTGGGTGCTCCAGGAGCCCCCACGCCTCACGCACCTTCAGGACATCACGACCTCCTTTGCTTGGTCCAGAAAAGCTTCCTGTAAGCTATGCTGCCTAGAGGGGGTCCAGGTCACTGCTCCAAGAACGAACTGCATATACGGTGCAGGTTCGTGGTGTAAAGCTTACATTTTTGCTTCACCCCTACTTTACAACTCAGGGTAATCCTGACTCCCAGAGATCAGGTAGGCAGGGCAGGCATCATCCTGGAGCTGGGGGTGGGGGTGAGGAAGTGGAGCATGTGCCCAAGTCGAGTCCCCAGGGCTGTTGCCTCCTGAGAAATGTTCTGGTCTCTCCCCACCACCAGCACTGTGCAGAGCCCACACGGTAGCTATGGTGGTCCAGTTTGAACCTCCTTTCAAGTCAAGAATGTGGGCTTGGAAGGGAGGCAGGCCTGGCTGAGGCCTGGGCTCAGGACTGACCTGGGTGTGACCTTCGCCAGTGACTCCCATAAGTCGAAGCCCCTCTCCGCTATCCCAGGATGCAGTGTGAACATCCACAGCCTTCTGAGTGCCCTTCTAGCCCTGGGAACCCACTTTGGTCAGGAAATGCCTCATGGAAAATTGGAACTGGAGGGAGCTGGATGGTAACCGATGGTAGAAATTTTTTTTAAGTTTTTAATTGCAAAGTTAATTTGCAACAAAATATATATAGACATTTTTGACAGGAGGCTCCTCCACCACCCCCATACCACATCCCACTCCCATTCCTGTTGTTCCTTCCAGTGCCTGGTCCACATGCCCACCAGGTTTGCTATCCTAATGCAGACTGCAGCGGGCAGAGGAGTCTTCTCTGTTGATGGTCTGTGCCCCCCGGGAGGAGTCAGAGGAGGAACTTCTGCTACCCTTTGAGACCACAGGAAGTTTTTTTGTTTGTTTGTTTGTTTTTTAATGGAGGTGGAGGGGAGTGACCTCTGCTCCTTTAGGAGGTTGGGGGTGGGAAGTGACAGGCAGATGACCATAATATAAATACAGGTTGGGTCACAATCTCCAGTCCCCTGCCCCCAACACTGGCCTCTTTTCTTCCTCACTCCACACCCACCCCAGCTCCATCCACATCTGCGTCCAGCCAGATGTGCCTGAGCCCAAATGCTGCTCCAACGCACTCTAGCCCTGTGACCTTAGACAGCGACCTGACCTCAGTGAGCCTCAGTTTCCACATCCGTATTGTGAGCATGTCCAGTGAGGCTTAAATGGTACCGAGACTGTAGCTTGCTCAGCACAGAACGTGACACTGGGGCGGGGCAGCTCCCCGAAAGGTATCTTTGGTAATATGGGTTGAGGAGGGGGCCGAGCCCTGGAGGAGTGGGGTGGGGGTCACCCAGGATTCCCGCCGCGCGGTCATCGAGTCGCCGCCCTCTGTGACCAAGGCAAGATAAGCTCTTAGCACCTCCATCTGCCGCTGGCCGCATCCCGGGCTGCTCCCCGCCTCCGCGCCCGGCGCGGAACGGGTGCGAGGCTGGGCCAGGGCCGGCCCGGGGGAGCCTGCGGGGCGGGGCCGCCGCGCCCGCTCCCCCTCCCAGCCTCCTTTTCCTCCTCGCAACGCCGGGCTCAGAGCGGCGGCAGCAGCGGCCGCGGCAACATCTCCGGCTCCGGCTCCGGCTCCGGCTCCGGCTCCTCCCGCTCCCGCTCCGGCCCCGCTCCGGCCCCGCTCCGGCCCCACGCTCTCGGGCCCCGTGCCCCGACCCCGCCGCCGCGCCTCCGGGGGCCTCGGGAGCCCCCGCCGCCCGCCTCACGCTGAAGTTCCTGGCCGTGCTGCTGGCCGCAGGCATGCTGGCGTTCCTCGGTGCCGTCATCTGCATCATCGCCAGCGTGCCCCTGGCGGCCAGCCGCGCGCGGGCGCTGCCCGGAGGCGCCGACAACGCCTCGGCCGCCGCGGGCGCCGCGGCCGCGTCCCCGGGCCCGCAGCGCAGCCTGAGCGCACTGCACGGTGCGGGCAGCTCTGCCGGGCCCCCCGCGCTGCCCGGGGCGCCAGCGGCCAGCGCGCACCCGCTGCCGCCCTTGCCCCTCTTCAGCCGCTTCCTGTGCACGCCGCTGGCAGCCGCCTGCCCGTCGGGGGGCGAGCAGGGCGACGCGGCGCTGGGCGAGCGCGAGGAGCTGTTGCTCCTGCAGAGCACGGCCGACCAGCTGCGCCAGACGGCGCTGCAGCAGGAGGCGCGCATCCGCGCGGACCAGGACACCATCCGCGAGCTCACCGGCAAGCTGGGCCGCTGCGAGAGCGGCCTGCCACGCGGCATCCAGGACGCCGGGTCCCGCCGCGACACTATGGCCGACGGGCCCTGGGAGTCGCCCGCGCTGTTCCTCGAGCTGGAGGACGCCGTCCGCGCCCTGCGGGACCGCATCGACCGCATCGAGGTGAGCGCCACGCCCCGCGCCGCGCCGTCGGGGAGCAGGCCGGGGTGGGAGGGACCGCTCGAGGGCTCGCTGGTCTGGCCACCACCGCTGGTCTGGCCACCACCGCCGGCTGCGGGACCTGGGGGGCCCTCCCGCGAGTATCTGATGCTCGGATCTCCCTCTATGATAAAGGGGGTGATGGCGAGAAGGAAGAGTTCGGGCAGGGTGAGTGAGCAGGAGGCTGACACTGTGACGGAGGAGCTCGGGAAAGGCTCGCTTCTGATTAGTTTCCCTCCAGGCAGTTCCGTCAGCCTCAGCTTCCGCATCTATAAAGTGGGTATAACAGTGTCCACTTGTAGTGAGGATGGACTAAAACGTAGGTGTGTAAAAATGCTTGGCTCGTACCAGGACCTCATTAAATGTCCGTTTCCTTTTCTTCTTTCAGACATCCCCAAAGCAGCACCAGCCCCACTCACTCCCTGTGGTCAGGAGTTAGGATGCGGTGTCCGAGGGGCTCAGAGTCCCCCCCTCCTGCCAAACAGCACGGAACAGAGTGTCCCATAAGCCAAACTCGTGTGCCCCTCACCACCTCCCATCCCCATATCCCCCACCTAGGCTGTACCATAGACCTAAGGGCAGGAGCTCAGGTAGTGCCCTGCCAGCCAGAGTAGCTGGAAGCTGGCAGCCCTGGGGTGGGGACCCAGTGGAGAATAGGGCTCCACCCAGGGTTCCTCCTCTTCCGCTCACTCTTTTCAGACACAGGCTGGGAATCAGACACAAGAGGTCTGACCCAGTAGTCCACTCTTGGCGGTCATGTGATCCTGGGCCAGTCATTTCTCCCTTGAAGTTGCCAGACCCCTACCTCCCTGTTAGGACCTATTTAGGACCTCCAAGAAGGGGAGCTGGACAGACTGGGAAGGACAGGCATCCAGGAGATACTGACCATCCCCAGCCATTTGCCATTTCCAGGCTGCAGGAAAGGGCTTTAGCAACAAAATTGGATCTGGGAAAGGAAGGGAGAGAAAGAGGCCAAAGCACCAGCTGCCTCTTCATACCTCCCTCCAAACCAAGTGCAGCTGGCAGAGGCAGAAAGAGGAGAGAGGCTGGAAAGAAGAAAAGCAGGGACCCCCCGCTCCCCCCACGGCTCTCTGTTAAATCTCTGGCTCAGCAGACAGGCGATGCCATGTGGAAGGGTGGCCGTGCCCATGTACCTGTGAGTGACCCTCCAGAAAGTCTGTGCTGATGTGAGCACCCAGCCCACAGAGTGTCAGAGCGCAGCCAGGGAGCTGTCACAGACAACCCTCTCATCTTACAGGCGAGAAACTTGGGTCTCAGAGACCTCCTAAGGTGAGCGACAGAGGAAGGAGGAAAGCCCGGGGTGTCTTGTCTGCCAGGCCAGCACCCCTTCCCAATTAAGCTCTGGGGGATAGCTCGGATGAGAGCCAAGAGCAGGAAATAATAATAATAATAATAATAATAATAATAATAATAATAATTGCTGCGAGTCATCAGTGAAGTGGGTCTGAGTTTTCCCACCTATAAAATGGGGACAATAATAGCACCGACCCCACCCCGGTGTTAGGAGGATTAAGTGAGTTCATCTTTGTGAAGGACCCAGAACAACGTCTGGCAGAGGTGTGTTCAATCACTCTGAGTGATTGCTATTTTTAACACTAGGCTATCACATTACTAATTTTTTAAATGGTCAAAAATAAAAATGGGGACCAATCCTCCTTTTAGGAATATATTTTATTAATGTAAAAAAATAAGAATTGGTTTCTAAGAAACTTCCTCTTGCCTGCCCTGGACCCTGCCCCCACACCCAGATGGCACCCGTGGTTCTTCTCATGTGTGGGGCTGGCAGGGTGGGCTCTCCACTTAGCCTGCTGAGGTTGGGGCTATCCTGGTGGCTGGGGTTTGGCACCAGGTCCGCCTCTCAGGTTGGGGGAATTCTTGCTTCCTACCCATACCCCTCCTACTTCCTGAGTGCAGTGGACATGGACAAAGAAAGGCAAGGGCTCCCTGCCCACCAGATCTTTCCGAGCCTGGCTGCAGCCAGAGCCAGTCTCTTTGGGGTCTTTGGGAGGAACTGGGGTCTGGAGTCCAACAGACGTGGTCTCAGCTGGACTCCATCCACCTGTTGGACACTGTCTAGTTTCTCTGTTCTCTTTTCACCCAATATGCTCAAAGGGGTGCTCCCCAGTGTTCAGGGTCTACTTTCTCACCACTCACCTGTCTGCCAGCAGGGCACACCGAGCGTGCTCATGGAGACATCACTGAATTGATAAACTGAACAGAACCTTTCAGTTTTTATCTTGCTGGACCCCCTCTTGGATGTCTGACTGTGTTGATCATTTCCTCCTATTGGCTTTCATGCCCTTGACTTCTAGACACCTCTCACCTGCCCCGCTTCTCTCTGCTTTTCTGTCCCCTTTCAGGGTCCTCCTCCTTTAGCATTTGCACCTCTCCTGGCTCTCACCTCACTTTCCCTGGGTGAGCTCAGCCACACCCTGCAGCTTCCAACATCCATTCCACTGTGGTGCCCCAAACCAACGTCATCTCCAGCCCAGGTTTCTCTCCTCAGCTTCAGACCAATAGATCCAACCGCTTCCTGAGCACCTCCCTCTGGATGTCCCGCCAGCCCCCTGCCCTCGTGTCCCTACCTGAACTCAGGTCCTCTGCTTCTCAGATGTGCTGTGAGAAGTCATGCTGGGTTCCTCCCCTTCCCTCCTCCTTCCACTTGGCCTCATCTCTCTCTGGATACTTGCAGTAGCCTCTCACTGGTCTCCCACCCCCAGGCACACCCTTCCATCCATCCTCCTTCAGGTAGCCCTAGGAATCTTCCTTAAGGCCACCATGGGCTCCCCTGTGGTGCAAACTCCTTAGCCTGCTTCCATGCTGTCATTTGGGATCTGGCCCATCTCCCAGTTCCTTCTTGCCTCTGCCTAGATACCCCACCCACCCTAGAATATTCATCCTTATCATTTAAGAGTGTTCTGAGGACACCTCCTCCTGGAGGCCCTCCCTGATCACACTCTATCCACTTCCTTCCCCACTCATGTTCCCATAACCTTCAACACATCCCTGCCCATCCTCACCTGGCACATTTCTGCATCACCCCTTTTCCCACTCCACCAGGCCAACTACCAAAGGGGAGGGAAGGTCACGCTGGCCCAGCCTCTCTCCCCAGGCCTCAGTGGGAGCCATATTTGAGGGCTTCGGAGTAAAGGTCTGTCTTCTTTTCTGTTTTTATTTTTGTTATTGTTGTTGCTGTTTATTGAAAAAAGTCAAAGCTTTGGGGTGGGGGGGCTCACATTTAATTCCACCATTTTATTTGTTTTTGCAGCTTCCTTTTGGTCCTTTATCCAAATCACTGCTGGCGATCGCTTTAATGACGGCCGTAACATTCCCCGTCCGTCGAGGGCTCTTGCGGGAGCTGTAGGTTGTCTCTAGTTATTTTTCTTCCAGATGCTATTGCAGAATCAATTCCAGGCAGATAGTTGTGGGATTTTTTTTTTTTTTTTTCATTTTAAGTCTGTTGAATTATTTCTTTAGGCTCAGTTCCCAAGAGTGGTCATAGTTGGTCAGAGGATATTGACTTCTCATGACTGTGGCCAAGAACCACTTTCCAGAAGGGCTGGACCATTTATGTGGCAACCGGCCATGTGTACACGTTCCAGTGTCCCATTTTTCACTAATTTATCTGTAAAGTGAAATTTCAAGATTGATTTCAGCAGTAATTCTGTGGCATAAACCATATCCTTTGCCCAGCCTAGCAAGCTGGTCACCTCCTTCCATCTTGGAGTGGAAGCTATGGTAAGGAACACCCTGATGACAGTCACAAAAGACCCTGGACTTAATAACAAGTATAGTTCACGCTGAGCACTTGCCATGTATCAGGCACAGTGCATTCTCATTTAATCCTAATAAAATCTCGATGAGGGAAGTACTATTCTATCCCCTTTTAATGACGAAGAAACCAAGGTTCAGAGAGGTTAAGAAATTGGCCCAATGTCACACAGCAGTGACACCTGGATTTGACCCTGTCAGCGTCTGACTCCACAGCCCTTGTTCTTCATCTTTAACTCTAGAGCTGTCTAGAGGGGTCAGACCTCAGTTACCCTCAGGAGAGTGAGACAGGCAGGTGAGCGCAGTGGCCCGTGTGGAGAGCGCCCGGAGCCCCATCTGCCTCAGAGAACCAAAGGCTCGTCCTGCTGGCTGGCCAGAGAGTCAGGAGGATCACGCTGCAGCTTCAGTGATACAAACAGCAGCTAGAAGCAACATTGACTAGGGCCTTGCTACACGTTATCAGTCTTCAGCCCTGTGACTAGGCCGTACACACTCCTATCTCACAGATAAGGCAGCGGGGGCTCAGAGAGTCTGGGGAACCAGAGCCAGGCAACCCCTCACCCCACTTCGGTTTCCTCTCTCTCAAATGATACAGTGGGCCAGCTGCTCCCTAAACACCTTTAAGCTCTAAATCGTCTCTGAAAGAGGAAGGTCTGGTGGCATCCAGTTGAGTTCTTGTTTGTGACTTTAGGCTAATCACTTTTCCTCTATGGGCCTCAGTGGGTTTTTTTTTTTAATCTTTAAAATGGGTGGAAGGAGGGGCTAGGTTTGGTCCAGGCCCTTCAGTCTCTAAATTATGAGTTCTTGGGGATATGCACCCTGACTAGAAATTGGGGGGTACTTATGTATTCCCAAGCTTCCGTTCACCCACTCCCAGCCCTCCAGTTTCTCAGGGAAGTGTGCAGGTAAACACAGTGACTTAGAGAATCTGTTGGTGTCTTTTCTAAAGTTTACTGGTTGCTTTTACTTTTATATTGCTACCCCTTCTGGAAGCTTCTGCTCTGCAGGGCTGGTTCCCCTGCCCGTGTCTCTTTGGCCATGAATGGAGCCAGCAGACTGTGGCAAGAGAGGTTCTGCCCTCTGGCCTTTTATTTGAGGACGTGGAACCTCTGTGCCCTCCAGCCACCTGCAGACCCTGAGGGCCCCTCTCCCAGTGGCTGGCCTCCCCCCATCCAGGTGGGGCACCCACACTGGGAAGCCCTTAACCCCTCCTCCTGCCAGTGTGGCACCTTCGTTCTAAAAAGAAACCTGGTGTGTTAGCCCTGGCTCTGCCACCTGCCCACTGTGACCTCAGAAAATTTCTTCTTTCTGATCCTTAGTTCCCCCATCTGTCAAATGAGAGGGGTGGGCAGGACCCCTCTTGCTCTGTCATCCTGTGCCCCTGAGGCCTTTCCTCCTGGCAGCCTTCAGTCAGGAGACCTGCTCCGAGCGGGGCAGGGCCTTCCCTGCGGGGCTTCTGTGTTTGAGGTATATCTTACAATGAAGATATTTAAGAGCGCACATATCTTCTTTATAAAAGACACAATCTTAAGTACAGCTCAATGAAAATTTATGCATGGAGACACCCATGAAGGTACCACCCAGATCAAGAATCGGAACATTTCCAGTGCCCCAGTAGGCTCATGTGTGACCCCAAAACCCACACTTCCGCAAAGGTCCCACGTTCTGCTTCTGCCGCCGCACGTCTGTGCGCCCGTGTTTGAACGTCATTCCGATGAACTCAGACAGCGGTTCCCCTTCGTGTCTGGTGTTTTCGTCTTCATTGCGTGTAACACTTGGTCTTGGCATGTCAGTGGTCTGTCATTTTCGATGCTGTGGAGTGTTTCTGTGTATGGATATACCTTCCTTGATTTATCCATCCCCCTTGCAGATGAACATTTGGGTCGTTTCTGGTTGGAGGTTATTGCAGATAAAGCTGCTATGAACGTCTTTGTGGTATATTTTGGTGGCTGTAAGCCCTCATTTCTCCTGGCTACATCCCCAGGAGTGGGATGCCTGGGTCCGACGAGAGGCATATATTTAGTGTTAGGAGATACTGCCAAACACGTTTCCAAAGTAGCAGTGAGCGTCTACACACCCACCTGCATGTGAATCTTACCAACCTGGGTATGGTCATTTTATTTTTAAAAAATTTTTTGTTCTTTATTGATTTTTTTAGAGAGAGATTCGAAAGGGAGAGGGAGAAAGAGATGGGAACATTGATGAGAGAGAACATCAACTGACGCCTCCTGCACGCCCCCCACTGGGGATCAGGCCCACAACCTGGGCATGTGCCCTGACCGGGAACTGAACTGGCAACTTCTTGGTGCAGGGTCGACGCTCAACCACTGAGCCACACTGGCTGGGCGGTATGGTCATTTTAAAAACGCTCCTCATTCTGGCCCTGACCTGGTGGCTCAGTTGGTTGGAGCATTGTCCCATACACCAAAAGGTTGAGGGTTCAATTCTCGGTCAGGGCACATAGGGGAGGCAACTGATCAATGTTTCTAAAAAGAAAAAAGCTCCTTGTTCTGGTGGGTGTGTAGTGCACTTGTTGTGGTTTTAATTTGTATTTCTCTGATGACTCATGAAATCGAGCACCCTTTCTATGTTTCTTGGCCATTTTGTGAAGTCCCTGCCCATGGGAGGTGGAATGAGGTCAGGGACTGGCTCTCCTCAGTGAGTGAGACTCGGGGGGCTTCCCCAGGACAGACTTGGGTGCATGATTCCCACTGACCTCTGGGGATAGGGATTGCAGCAACCAACCCAAAGTGGAAGTTCTTACGCACCCCACACACCCCTCATTTGCCTCAGAGGAAGATAAAGTTCAGTTCCGGTCAGGGGCATGTACCTGGGTTGCAGGTTCAATCCCCGGCCCCAGTCAGGGTCATATGGGAGGCAACCAATCAATATGTCTCTCTCACACTGATGTTTATCTCTCTCTCTCTCTCTCTCTCTCTCTCTCTCTCTCTCTCTCTCTCTCTCTCTCCCTCCCTCCCTCCCTCCCTCCTTCCCTCCCTTCCACTCTATCTGAAAACCCATGGAAAAGTATTCTCAGGTGAGGATTAACCAAAAATAAAGATGTGTGGTGGGAGATGGAGGACAGTGGTCTCTTCACGAGGTGACAGCGTGATAGTAATACTGACATGCAGCACTCCATGCGCCACCTCTGCTCTCGGGGCGTCATACCTGTGACCTCGTTTCACTCTCACCACGGTGCTAGGAGATATTATTACCGTGGCCTTCTTGCTGATGGGGAAACTGAGGCACGGCAGCTTTGCATAACAAAGTCACTGGGCTGGTGGAGCCAGGGGTGGGCCCGGGCAGACTCACAGAGGACTTGAGGAATGACCAGAGGGGGAGGTGAGACCACCGGACCCACACTGCTGCTGCCCCTGGAGCTGGGCTGGGCAGGGGCGAGCTGTGCAGGGGGGGACCCTGACCCTAAAGCCAGCACCTTCCCGCTGCTCCCCGAAGCAAAGGAGCGGTTCCCACCTGGGGACGAGGTGTTGGGTCCTCCCCATATACTTCCAGCCTCTCAGCCACCCCGCATAGGCAGGTGCCTCCTCTCTGGTCCCTCTGTGAAGCTGCCCCAAACCACGGTGACAGTCTGCCAGACCCTCCCAGCCTTCTCAGGGCCACTAGAACCTCTCTTTCTGGCCCTCAGGGCAGCCAGGGCAGCCAGCACTGTGCCCTCTTGGCAGACCAACAAACTGAGATCCAGACTGGCAGGTAGAACTGAAGAATGGGAGCAGGTTCTGGAATCTGAAGGGCCTGGGCTGGGATCCCGGCTTTGTCTCTTCGCAGCTGTTACTTAGACAGGTGACTTCCCCTCTCTGAGCCTCAGTTTCGTTATCTGGAAAGTGGGCCTCCTCTCTCCAGGCTGTTGAGAGGGGCTGTGAAGTGTTTGCACAATACTTCCTCAGCGCAGCACCTGGCACAGAGCGTGTGCCAGCGAGGACGGGCCACTGTCCGCATTCTCATTACTCAGGGCTGATGAGCCGCACCTCGGTGCTGAGCAGGACCGGGACCCTGGGCTCTGCCTCCAGGCTCCATACACGCACAGCACACTCCACCCAGGCTCCCGGCATGGCCGACGGTGGGCTCCAAGCCCCCGCTTCCAGCCTCATCAGGGTGATGGCATCATCCTCTCCCCACCACCTTGGGCTAGGCGCCCACTCGGCATCAGGCTGGGAGCCCACGCGGCACGGCCTGCACCCGCAGCAGATGGGAAAGTGGGGGGCGCAGTCATGTTCTTCTGATTCAGACATGGGGGGCACACACGATCCGGTGAGCCCACCCCCTCCCTGGCCTTCCTGTTGGTGGCAGAGTTGGTGGCTCTGACAAAAGAACAGCTTGTGAGCACACCTCCCTCAGCTGCACGGTCTCTCCTCGAAACCATCTGTGTAAATAGCACTCCGCGGCCGTTCCTTCCTGGCAGGTCTTCCCCCCCGAGGGCGGAGGACGCTTTGCTAGCGAGAGAAGGCTTTGGCTCCAGAGGCGGCAGCTCTGCCCAGCCCCATCATTATAGAAAATTCAAAAGGACGCTGCCTCAGTTTCCCTGTCTGTGAAATGGGGACACGAACAGTGCCAACAAAAGTGAGTGGCTGTATGGATACATGAGTAAATAGGTGTAAAGTGCCAAGGATGAGCCTGGCACAGGCATTCAGATGTGTGCCCCTCATGCCAAGCTTATAGCGGAAGGAGGGGGACTGAGGACAGAGCAGTGCTGGACCGAGGAGGCCCAGCCGCGGCCCTCCCAGCAGAGGTGGAAGGCATTCTGAGTTCACCGCCTCAGCCCGAGGTTTCCTGGAAGTCCAGCCACCTCGAAAGCAGTGTGTGGCTGGCCCTGTCTCTCCGTGGGCTCTCTCGATCAAGAGAAGGTTCTGGAGGTAGCAAGCTCCCTGTCCGCTGACGTATTCAAGCTTCACAGTTTGCATTCTGCTTTTATAGTCCATGAGAGCTTTACTTCCTTACCCCTATCCTGGGGGTGAACAGAGCGGGATCAGTGGTCCCTACTTTACAGAAGGGGAAACTGAGGCATTGTGTTTAGTCAGCATGAGAGTCAGGATTCCTAGAACCCTGGGGAGAACGAGGAGCCTTCCAGATAGTGAAGGTTAGTGTAACAGGGGTGTCAAGGTTAGCCCACCTGCCCCCGATTTTGGGGTGGCGTGGCAGAACCGAGTATCTGTCCCTCCAACTCCTCAGCCCTAGACAGTGATTGCAGTAAACAGGCTCTGCTCATTGGCATTTACCACTGAATCGTCTCCACAAACCTTCTAAATAGGTACAGTTGCCCGTGTTGCATGTGAGGAACCAGAGGTTCAGCGAGGTAGAGGCATTTGCTCAGGGTCACACAGCAGGTTGGTTCTCGAGCTGGATGTGAACCTGGGCTGCCTGACTCCAGAGCTGGTGATCTTAACCACAGGCAACCCGGATGGCTGCCCTCTGGAGCCCTGTTCCAGAGCCCGGGTCTGCCTGGGTCCAGACGGAGCCCTGCACCAGCACAGAGAAGCTTGACGAGTGAGTGAGTGAAGACTAAGGGCCCTCAGCATACAGCCTTCCAGCTATGAAGGAGTCAGCTGTGGCCATCAGCTTCACTGCACATTAGAACCCCCGGGAGCCTTTCCAGAGCTCTGCTGCCCCCCCCCCCCCCGGCTGACATGTCCTTGCGGGCAGGAGCCAGCCTGCTCTCAGCTGACCAGTGCATACCAGTCTGACCTCGGGCAAGCTGGGTTTGAACCTGGGCTGTCTGACCCTCTGATCTTAAGATGCTCTGCTAGACGACCAGTTTGTTGCCTAAAGCTGGTATTGCTGACTCCATTTTGCTTACGGGGAAGCTGGAGCTCACCTGGGATCACTCGACAGGGGCGGAGGTCTCTGAACCCCACGTCCCTTCCCTCTCTCTCGGAGGGACCTCACACACCTCTTTCTCTGCCCCGAGAGCAGCAGGAGCTCCCAGCCCGCGTGAACTTCTCAGCTGCCCCTGCGCCTGTGCCCATGGTGCCCACTGCCCTGCACTCCAAGATGGATGAACTGGAAGGGCAGCTGCTGGCCAAGGTGCTGGCACTGGAGAAGGAGCGCGGGACCCTCAGTCACAGCAGCCACCAGCAGCGGCAGGAGGTGGAGAAGGAGCTGGACGCCCTGCAGGGCCGCATAACGGAACTGGAACACGGTGGGTCCTGGGCCCCGCAATGGGCGGAGCAGGCGAGGCCTTGGTCCTCAGATGGCACCTCTGGTGGGGGGGCGGATTCACTGGAAAGACATTTTCATGCTCTCTGGAGGCTGAAGTAGAAAGGTGGGGAGGAGGCTGTGGAACACAAGAGGGAGAGAATAATCGATGGCTATCATCATCATTAAGTTAGTATTTCTGGCACTTATTATATTTTGGGAGTGGGCTAAGGACTTAACCTATCAGCTGGTTTAAACTTCACCCACCACAAAGGGATGGCACTGTTGTTAGCCCCATTTCACAGAGGAGGAAACTGAAGCTCAGGGAGGTCAAGTGTTTTACCCAAGGTCACACAGCCAGTAAATACTGGATGTAGACTTCAAACCAGGTCTGACTCCAAAGCCCATGTATTTAAACACCCTACAAAATAGCACCGTCAGTGAATCAGAATTTGGTCATTTGTTTAACACCTGGGCCTGGCACTGCCAGGGAATCAGAGAAACCTGACGTAATGGACAGTGTACAGGTCTGAGCACCAGGAGACCTAACTCCTGGTTCTCCAGCTGTCACTGACTTGCTCTGGGACTTGAGAAGTTTGCTCCCTTTCCCCAGGCCTCATTTTCTTCATCTGAAAAGTGGAGATTTAGGACTCATACACTCTCAGGAAGCTTTCATTTTAAAACCTTGTGAGGACCACCCATAAGGGGCTTATGGAAAAGTTGAGGATACCAGGGAAAACCCTGAGCAGTTAGGTGGGACTAGCTTAAATGTAAATCAGTTGTTCTGGAGAAAGAAATCCAGGAGACTTCCTGGAGGAGGTGGGCCTCAAGCTAGTCCTTGAAAGCAAAGGTAGAGAGTGAATTTTGGAGTGAAGAGGCAATAGCAGGGGGCACAATTAAAGGGAGACATAGCAAGTGCCTAGGGACTAGTAGCCTCCCTCCTGGAGTGTGCCCTGCCCACTCCACCCTCGTTGGTGTCCACTGACTCACCATTTCCACCTTGCCCACCTCCCCTCAGGGTCCTCAGCCTACAGCCCCCCTGACGCCTTCAAGCTCAGCATCCCCATTCGCAACAACTACATGTACGCCCGCGTGCGGAAGGCGCTGCCCGAGCTCTACGCCTTCACCGTCTGCATGTGGCTGCGGTCCAGGTCGGGCAGCTCTGGCCAGGGCACCCCCTTCTCCTACTCAGTACCAGGGCAAGCCAATGAGATTGTGCTGCTGGAGGCGGGCCCCGACCCCATGGAGCTGCTGATCAATGACAAGGTCAGTGGGTTGGGCAGACTGGAGGGGTGGGGGAGGGGCACCTTCCAGGAGCACCGCACTGTGCTGGGCCCCACGCGTGTGGGCTCTTTCAATTCTCTCTCTCAGCGTATTCAGCACACATGCCATGCCTGCTGCGTGCCACGCCAGGCCCTGGCAACGCAAGGACAAGCCAGACCTGGGGTGGCTGAAGAGGGGCGTGTCCTAGAGAGGCTGTGAGGGCGGCGCTCCCATTACAGCGGAGGCCTGTGAGGCTCGCGGAGATCCCGTGACTTCCTCAGCCACCCAGCTCCAGGAGCAGGGCTGCAAGTGTCTGCCCCTGGGGTCCTGTTCATTCTCCTGGCAAGAGAGGGAGGCCCAAGGACCTGCCTAACTGCTCCTTCCAGACCACCAGAATCCTGCTCAGCAGGAGGTACCTTTTGTGGGTGTACTAGAAGAAGAGGAAGGAGATGGACCCAGGGGACAATGAATTTTTTCTGTGACCCCATAGGTCCTGAGAAGACCTGAGGTGGTCTGCATCTAGAGCCTCTAACCACGTTACTTTCTTACACCCCCTGGCTGCCATCCTTGGCTCTGTCCACGGTCAGCACTCAGTTCTTAGAAGCGATTCAGCACCACGGACAGGGCACAGGGCAGCCCTATTTCCGGAACCTCCGGAGTCCTGAGTGACAACCTCACAGGCGACCACTCACAGTTCCCCTTTTATTCCAGCCTCTAAGCCTTTGCTCCTGCCGTGCTGCCCACTTGGTTGCCTTGTGTGCAATGGTCAGAGTCCACTGTCATCCAGATGTCTTTAGACTCCGTGTCTTTGTTCCCACACCCCCTCTTCCTCTGGGCCTTGATCGGCTCTCTACCTCCCAAATGGTCCCTCTGTTACTTTGTCTTGTAACATTGTCCCCGAAGTCCACTCCTGTGCAGACGCAGCTCATTTACAGCCAGGACCAGATTCATATCCCCAGTGTCCAGAACAGGACCTGGCACCAAGTAGGCCTCAGAGAGTGTTGCATTACATTGTGATCTCAGAGAACTCAGATGAAAGAGCAGCAAGTACCTTCACCTCACAGGCCAACGCTAACCACTGAGCTGGCTTCGGCGAGCATGTTGATGAGGAAGATGCTGAGGCTGAGTCCAGGCTCGTGATTGACTGGTCATGTCTGCCTTGGAGAGGAGGCAGAGGTGACTGCATAATTGCCAGCCCTTGCCTGACCTCCTCACTTCACAGATGAGGAGACCGAGGCCAGGGAGGAAGGTGCAGACCCCGCTGGGTCCCACAGGGGGATGGTTGGCAGAGCCAGGGCCGGATGCCAGTGTCTGGCCTGAGTCCAAGGTGTGTTCCGCCACTGCCCATACTTTTTGAGCCCGGGCACTGTGTGCGGTGTTCAGGGGAAGGTAGGATTGGAGAGGCGGCTCCCACCCTACGTGACCTGTTAGTGAGTAAACTACCTGGAAACAAATGAAAACCAACACTGACTAGACCCTTGTGATCTGAGTGAAGCTGCCTAGTTAGGTCATGAGGAAAGAGGAGAGTGGTGGGGAAGATGCTGGGCTGGGAGGAAGGAGGGGTCAAGCCTCGGGAAGGGAGGACACGGGTCTCCTGCCCCACTCACTGCTCCAGGCTTGGGCCTTGTGACCCCTGACCTGGGGCTGGGGGATCTGTGTCCAGGTGGCCCAGCTGCCCCTGAGCCTGAAGGACAATGGCTGGCACCACATCTGCATCGCCTGGACCACGAGGGATGGCCTGTGGTCTGCCTACCAGGACGGGGAGCTGCGGGGCTCCGGAGAGAACCTGGCTGCCTGGCACCCCATCAAGCCTCATGGGATCCTTATTCTGGGCCAAGAGCAGGTAAGGCTCAGGGTGATATCAGGGCTTGAGGCCCAGGTAGACTTCCCACCCAGGGCCCCTGAGGAGGAGGGGCTAGTGGAGGGACCAGAAAGCACAGCAGTGACCACTCAGCACTGTCTGACCCAGCCATTCTGCAGATGGTCTGGCAGACTGAGACTCAGAGAGGACAGAGACCTGCCCAAGGGGCTAGAACCTTAGGGGCAGGGTTAGATGCTTAGGGGTGGGGCTAGAGTTGTGGGGCGGGGCTAGAGCCGTGGGGGTGGGGCTAGCGGAGCTTCCACTGGGACAGGGGCCTGCCTCTGAGTCGGCCACCTATCTTTTCTGCACTCTCACTCCATTTTCTCTCCTTTTTCTATGTTCTCTTGGCCCAGGATACCCTGGGAGGCCGGTTTGATGCCACCCAGGCCTTTGTGGGTGACATTGCCCAGTTTAACCTGTGGGACCATGCCCTGACATCTGCCCAGGTCCTGGGCATTGCCAACTGTACTGGACCGCTGCTGGGCAACGTCCTCCCCTGGGAAGACAAGCTGGTGGAGGCCTTTGGGGGTGCAACGAAGGCTGCCTTCAGTGCCTGCAAGGGGAGAGCTAAGGCATGAGGGGCCACCTCACCAAGGGCCCCTGCCAGTTTGGGGACCTTACAGGAGGGGGAACACATTCCCCCCACACTGGCCTCCCCTCCTGCTCCACTCCTGACCATGCCCCTCATTTCCCCTACCTACACCCACACCTCCAGAATGCCCTGCCTATGATGGCTGCCCCCTGATCCCACTTGGAGGGGGACAAGCAGCTCAAGTCAATAAGTCAAGCCTGGGTGAGGCCAGGGCCTGGCAGGGGTGGATAGCAGTGTCCATGGCTCTGCCCACAGCCATCTCTTACCCCTGCCACACCCTGTCCATCAACCATATCTGATTCCACTGATGTCAACAGCATCCCCACGGGGTTGTGTATGGGGGGAGGGGAGACCTTTCACTCCCTGTTCCCCATACAGCAGGCCTGGCCCCTTCCCCTTCGGGGCCACAACAGGCCGCAGAGCAGTGCCCCCAGCTGAGAGGGGAAAGCAGAGACACAGGAGACTCAGGCTCACCCCTCCTCCACTTTTCCACCAGCTGACAGTCAAGGGCAGCAGGATCTTAATGGACCCTCTCCCCCAGACCCCTACCCCACCCACACCCACACCCTCTCTCTTCCTCCTCTGTCCTTGTTTCTTTGTGTGCAGTGGATTAAATGTTGGTTCCATGCCTGTCCCAACCCCACCTCAACTTCCAGGACATTCCCTTCCCAGCTCTGACTGGAGGGTTAGGGACCAAGACCCCAAAAGGCCAAAGGACCGTAGTCTCCCCTGTGCCCACCCATAGCTATGTCCACTGCTGGCATGGTCACTTCTCCCCCTCTGTGGCCAGGACAGGGCCTGGGCCACTCGGGCCTGAGCTAGGAGCAGCATGAGGCAGACGCACTGTGCTGCAGGGGACCAGGCTCTGGCACAGCCACACTCCCACCCCTGTCAGAGCTGAGAAGGCACCCAGCCTGATCCCTGACCTGCATGGCCTGCAGCCTCTGAGGAAGGAAGGAAGGAATAGGCGGAGTGAGCAGGGAGAAACATGGAATGGTGTGCAGAGCATTGGATGCGGAGGAGGAGCCCCTGGTTCCTAGCCAGCTCTGCTCTGTGGCCTTCTCCAAATCCCTGCCCTCTCTGGGCTAGCCTTCCTCATTTGTGAGCAAACATGAGATGGTTTGTGATTTCAGGTGACTAGGGTGGGGAAAGCCTGAGAACTTTCCTGGTGACTGAAGGGCATAGCAGGGGCAGATCCTGGGACAGGGCAGCACGTGGGATCTGGCTAGGCATGGGTCAGGGTCAGCAGCTGGCTCCAGAGAGTCAGAGGCAAGGGCACGGGGCAAGGCAGGCCAGCCTCATGTGCATGCTATAAAATCAGCTCTCTGGCCTACCCTAGCCTGGCACTCTTGCCTGTTGGAGGGTGTCTCAAAGGGCTGGTGGCTTCCTGGTCCCCACCCTTGAGTCCTCATCAGCTCTCCTGAGAAAGTGGGAGAATGTCAGAGCTGAGAAGGCACCCAGTCTGATCCCTGGCCTGCACAGACACGGAAGAGCTCAGAGAGGGCAAGTGACTTGTACAGGGTCACCCAACACAATGGGCAGAGTCAGGACTAGAACCCAGGGCTCTGACTCCCTCTTCCGTGCTCCTTCCCCACACCATTCTGCCTACCCATGGGGGTCTTTGAGTCCAGGCCTCACTTAGAGGAGGGACATTTGAGAGGTCAGAATGCTTTCCAACATGACCACTGGAACATCTTCCCTTATAAGACACATCTTGGCATCCCCTACCTCCTGGGAGGCTTGATCCCGGGCACTCTGGCAGCAATGGTGAGCTGAGAAAGCAGGTGTCCCTTCCCTGCCAGTCACCTGCCAGGTCTGGGCAGCTGCAAGCTACCTGACTCGAGTGGGCACTGGTGCCTTTTGCCCCACTTTTTGTTCCTTGTCTCTGCCCCCACCGCCAATCAGCCTGAGGCGCGGTGGAAGAGCTGAGGCTGCGGAGGCTTTGCTGACTTGCCTCCAGCCCCAGATCCTTGTTTCCATTGCAAGAGCACAGGTAGACCTTCCAGCACCTCCAGCCCAGCTCCCCCAGAAGAACCTAGGAGCGATGGCGTGCTTCAGCCAGGACCTGCTGAGATCTAGGTTGCCCTGGTAACAGCCAATGACATCAGCCCTAGTGCTGGGCCAAGTATCTCATGGTGACATACGCTGTTGCTGGGGTGATGGCAGAATTTGGAACTTAGCTTTCAGGGGCACTGGACATTGGCTTTATTGGGTTTCTATTTGTGTTTTTAAGGAAGCAGCTTTTGCAGAGGCCTTGGGGGAAAGAAAGGGTCTTAGGATGGAGGTGACAGAACTGGTCTGACCACTTGAGCCCACCCAGAGAACATCCCAAGTCCTGTGTGCCTTGTCATGGGATGTGCCCTGGTTGGCTATCCAGAGGGAAGAGGAACAAATTGGAGGTGTTGGGGTGCAAGCTCTGAGTCTGGGCCATGGGGGAGTGGCCTGGATCCCCATTTCCAGTCCGGGAAAATGAAAGCCCCAAAGTCCCCACGCCTTCATACACTGGCCGAATGCCTGCTGCGTGGACTCTGGCTTGATCCTCAGCTGCTCCGGGCACAGCCGGGATGGCGGGGGAAGAGGATCTGAACCGGGGCTCAGCTGCGTCCCTAGCTGCTCTCTCTGGTGGTGACGCTGGAGCCCGTGTGTGTTGCGTCATTCTAAACATCAGGCCCTGCGCTAAGCACCTCCTGGGCATCCTCTCATTTCTCCTCTCAATGCTAGACTTTCTTCATGCAGATGAGGAAACTGGGGCCCAGAGAGGTTAAGTAACCTGCCCAGTGTCAATCAGCCAGCAAATGATGGAGCCCAGACTTCAAACCAAGGCAGTTTATGTCAAGGGCCCACCCCTCAGCCCAAGGGGACAGTCACTCCCACACTGTGGATCGGGATTTGGGCATCATTGCTCCTGCCGGGTTTTGACCTGAGGGATGTGCCTGACCCTCTTTACTACCCTACAGAGTTCAGAGTCTAGGGTGGAAGAAGAGAGGCAAGTCATAGGCCAGCCCCAGGGCCAGGGTCCCCTTGGGTGAGACTGTGGGAGTGGTCCCCGTCCCTTCAGGGAAACCCCCCTGCAGTGTGCCCGCCTCTCCTCCAATGGCTGGAGATTCCAGGAGAGCTGAAAGGTGGACTCCCTCCGAGAGCCCCGGCAGGGGAGGGGAGGAACCGGCAACTCCTGCGTTGGGCCAAGCCCTGCTCCAGGTGCTTCACAGCTCTTACCTGCCAGATTCTCCCACCTCGGTGGCATGTTGTGCCCCCAGCCAACCTCCCACGGGGACAGATCACCTTGCCACACCTGTGCATGACCTCGGTCCACAGATTTGGACAGAAGGGCTCTTAGAGGCAGCCAAAGCCCTCATTTTACAGATGAGGACACCAGGGCCCACAGAGGACGAGTGGCCCAGCGCTCCATCTCTGCATTGAGTGCTCTCCACGACACAGTGCCCTCTCCCCACACTGGTCCCCCTTCGCTGGGTTTGTGCACCTTTGCCCTGAACAAACTGGAGAAAGGGTCCCCTTCCAGAGATGGGATCATTTTCTTTACCCCCTTTGTCCGAGCTGCCTGCTACCCCAAACCCCACCTCCCCCGTGGCCCCTGACCTCTGACCCCCTGGGTGGAGAAGAGGCTCTCGTGGGCCCAGTCTAAGCAGTGAGTGAGCATGTCATGCTGCTGGGCACTGAAATTAGTGCACCCTTCTGGTGACCCCCCGCCTCCCGTCCTCCTGGCCCAATTTTGTACATAAAGTGACATGAGATGCAACGTGTGTGTGTGTATATGTGTGTGTGTGTGTGTGTGATATGTCATGGACTTTGTCACTTTTTTGTTTTTGTAAATTTGAATGTTCAAAATAAACATGACGTTTACTCTGAGGCTCTTCTTGCAAGGCTGGGCCACCCGGAGGCGGGCAGGAAGGAGGCTGCGACTTGGGGCAGGGCAGTGGGCAAATACAGGAGGACAGGAGGTGCGGCCTGGGTGCCCAGAGCCTCACCCAGATCACCTGTCCCCCAGTCTGACAGGTTCTGCCAGGCCCCAGGTACAGACATACCCCATGTCCCAGGATTTATGCAGGAAGGATGTGAGAACACAAATCCCATGTGGAAAGTGTCCCAGTTCTGATAACTGGGCTTTGGCCTCATTCCTAACACCCCATCCCCACCTCGTGCCCCAGTTCTGGGAACCAGGTCCCTGACTTGTTCCCTGAGACCCAATCTGCCTGAGTCACTTGCCTGGACCCCCAGAGTGGTGCCTCCCTTGGAGTCCTGGGGAGATGGGGGAGGGGAAAGGAAGTTGGCCCTGGTGTGGTTCAAACCCTCCCCTCCCCGTGGTCTACCTGGACACCTCTGACTTGCTTGACCTCTAAACTGGACTTTCTGATAGTCCCCCACCCACCCCTCCAGCACCCACCCATCCCTGGAAGGCTTTGATCTAGTCCCCAGCCCTCCCTGTCCACACCATCTTAGGAACACAGCAAGACAAGCCTTCCCAGACTTCCAAAGCTTCCCAACTTCCAGCAAGAGTGAATTCACACCCTGGCCAGTTTGGCTCAGCGGTTAGAGCAACAGTCCATGGACTAAAGGGTCAGGGGTTCGATTCCCAGTCAAGGGCATATACCTGAGTTGCAGGTTTGATCTCCAGCTCCAGTAGGGGTCATGCGGGAAAAAGCCAATCAGTGTGTGTCTCTCTCTCCCTCTCTCCCTCCCTTCCACTCTACCTAAAAATCAATGGAAAAGTATCCTCAGGTGAGTATTAGCAACAACAAAAAAATAAATTCACCCCATGAGGACCAGGGGTACCACTGGAAGCATTTCAAACACGAAAACCAAATTTGAAGTCTACTGAGTTACCTGAAAAATTGTGTCCAAAATGAATCCAGATTTGTTTTTAAATATTGTTTATAATTACTTACCAATGAGCAAAATTAAGCTGCAGGCAGCCACGCCCTGCTGGTCCTCTCTTGCTCTGATTTACTTACAAACACCCTCTCTCCTTCTGTCCCCCTCAGCTGGCAATGTCCTGCCCTGGTTAGAGCCCCTGGCCACCTGCCACCTGCCGCACCTGCACAGCTGACGCGGACAAGCACAGGGCTCGCACGTGTGCCGACTCTCATTTCAAATTCACGGCCAGAGATCCAGGGGCAGGTCTCCCTGCTCTGCAGCTCAGCACACTTTCCTCGTGGGAGGGTTCGCTCTCCACAATGGCTAAGAGTCGACCCTCTTTCTCCTCAAAACTCCTACAGCCTTCCAACCCCATCCCTGCACCCTCAAGGGTGACCTTACTTCATAGTGCACCGAGGAGACAAAGCGACCATCAC